CACAAAGCGGGCAAAGCTAACGGGGAAAATGAGTGATTGGGAGGTTGGGGGTGATGTGGTTAACAAACACACTAAAAACCACAAAACTCGGGAAAAACACTCATAAACCAACACACATGGACAGACGGACCGCTGATGGACTTATGGAAATTGACTATGCAAACTGTATAAATATTTGATCAATTTTCGCGTCTCCTCGCGCATTGTAAGCCGCAAAAATAAATGTATTTTTAAGTAGACGCAACCGCAACTCACACATGCAGCTATAAAGATTTTATACTATAGAAAAAATCGGGGAAAAATAAATTGCTTTAAAGAAAAATGCAACAATATTTTCATACTGTTTGTTAATTTTGTTCGACCCCGAACATGAACCTTCATATCTTTGTAGCTGTAGTTTTTAATCTACTTTGGGTAATTCAATTTTGACTTAATTTAAAACATTTTTTGTATTGATAGTTTTGATAAATACAATTAAAATTTTAAGTCAATTCCATAGATTTTATCACCGAAAATATTTTATCACTTTTGAACAATGGTAAATACATTTTTTAAAAACTTGAATTATTTTTTCTAAGGCGTTAAGCAATAATTTAAAAAAAAATATTAAGGTAGTCACGTTATTTAAGGTCAAAATGTAATTTACAGTGCACAAGCAAAATCAATCAACAGTAAATGGACGCGTCAAAAATCAGCAAATGTGAAATACTCACCCGCCAACCAACATCTCGCCCAATCGAGGTGAAAGGTTATATGGGTCCTCTGGGCTCCTCTCGATTGCCACTCCCCATTTGGCCACCGCCCCCAGGATCCAAAAGTAAATGAAGCGAATAAAAAAAAAAAGAAAAACCCAAAAGCGAGAAAAGAAAATGAAAAGGCCGCAAGCAATCGATGAATTCATTTTTGGTATTCACCGAAATTGTTCAAACAATTATCGATATGAATAAAAGACGCAAGTTTTCTCAGGCGATTTTTATGAATAGCAATCTTGAACGCCATTGAATTTTCGGCAGGGACTTATTAGAGAAGCCCACAAAAAGCAGCCCTTCAAACCAAATTCTCGATATTCATGAATTCGAGTGGTGAAGTGAAAGAGACTGAAGTTGGCTCAAGTGGTTTAGCCTGAATTAATTATCGATAACGAGATAACGATGTGTGTTTTTCTCCAATGGCCACTTTATCAATATACAACCAAAATGAATGGCAATATATATGGATATTTTGCAGATAAGTTATCCAAGAATCAGGAAAGGCCAACTTGTTATAATAATCAATTATTGCGTCAGGAAAATGTCAAATCTAATTTCAGTATTTACACAAAGGTTATCGGTAATATGCGTGGTTTAACCACACAAAATTGAAGGCAATATACGTTTTTTGTAAATTTGAACCGTTTTTTTCTTAATAAAAAATAAATTAATTAAATATAAAATAATTCGATGCATTGTAAAATGCAAACTACATTAATGAAAGCTATTTTAAATCAGTAAAAATTACATTGGTAAATAAAAACAAACAAACGTAGAAAGTACACATAAGAGACAGCTTAGCAATTGGAAAATCAACGAATATAATATTAAAAATTGATATTTAAAAATATCAGAAATCAAAGCAACCTCAAATTAGGAAATCCGCCATAAAAGCGTGCCACATACCAATAATTGACTCTTTGAGTTCCCCAAAAACAACCAAGTACCTCATGAAAAACAAAATCAAAATATTAAAATATGGAACTCATTGAAAGAAAAAAAAATGAAATCAGAGATGATGACTCGTCGGCTATAACCACAGACCTATATATATATGTAAACATATGTATGGGTATATAGATACCCGTGCTGACGTCGAGTGAGTGAATCGTAATGAGTTTTGAAATGTACACCAGGACCGCTCTGTGTCATTACGAGACAGAATGGAAAAAAGAGGCCCCCGTCACTGCCATTAGCATTCAGACAGAGAAGGGTAGGGGTGTATATCCACCTCTGCAGTGCCACATCCGACAAGAATATCAACAATATTGGACGGGATGGGTCGGTTAATTGGAGCGCATGATTGATTACAGTTTCCATTAATTACGCTCACTTTGCTCGCTTTTCTGGTCATTAACCATTCAACAGAGGACTTTAGGAAAAATGCTATCAACGCAACCGTCAGGGTAAAGACTTTTAAAATTCAAAAGATTAATCAAATAAATCAAGATTCGATCAGAGGGTGGAAAGCAGGGGAAAGGAATGCGATTTTCCATTAGCTTAACAAGGCATTACTTAAGATTCTCAGGGGACAGATATTGGAGTTCCTGTGTAGATAGATAGAAATATCTGGGAACGCAACTAAAAACTGGTATTGGCATCGGGATCTCGGATCTATTTATGGCAAATTCCTACGTCGCAGACATATTTTACATTCAACACGATCGTTCCCAAAAGCACACAAGTGCATTCAGATATATATCTGGGATATCTTGCACATCGCATCTTATAGAAAGCGAAAGCAGCGACATCCAGACGAAATGAGTTGCAAAAAATCTAAAAAAAAAAAAAGGAAGGAAAAACACAACCAAACAAAAACGAAATTTCAGGGAATAAAGTGTAAAAATGTTTTTATTTTCTATTCAAAAAAGTTTATTTGATGTATTTTTGGATAATGGGTTGGGAAATAAACACAATTGACATTTTATTTACAATAGTAGCAGCAGTATGGTGTATGTATGTATGTATGTACATCGGTTTTACGATCTTTGTTATTTACAATAAAAATAAGGAATGTCTTACTCGAAATACTGTGTGTATTGCTAAGCGATGGGTAATTAACAATGATTTTGATGCGAGCAACTTTCCGTTTTAGTGCCTCTCGAGACAATTAAAGAGGTGTTAACAAAATGGCTTTTGGTGAGGGAAAGTAAAAATTGTCTTAGATCAAAGGTTCTTACGATTTTAGGCCTATTTTTTAAGAGAAAATGGCGAAATTTGGTAAATTTAATAATATAAAATTTAGTCATACCAAACATGTACAACATTTTTTAAGCCTTAAACTTTCATTGATTGAGTTTTAAAATAGTTTAAAACCCTCCTTTGCTTTATTTATTTTAATTTCCCGGGCTAGATAAAGTAAGTCGACTTACACAGCTGAGAAGCAAAAAAAAAAATGGCCAATAACCATTACAAAACTTGCATTCAATTACTGACCCAATTCCAGTAATTGTCCCCATTTCAGTTTTCAATTTCCGCTGGAAAAGTTCAGCATAAAGTTGAGTTTAAAGTTCAAACCCCCGAATGCTCTTAAAGGTTCCCCAATATCACTAAATTATTTATTTTTAGTTATGTTTTTGGGTTTGACCACAAACTCAATTTGGCTCTTCATGAATTATCCATGCGCGGCAAAAGGGGGAAGCACGGGGACGGGGTCATTGTTTTACTGGTCCTGAAAGTCTCATATTCCGTATACGAGGACTAATCCTTATGCATTTGCATGACCGCAAGCATGCCAGTTACATACATACACTGTTCGTTCACCACTGCAGAGGGCCAAACGTGTGTCATCGGTCGTATGAACAGGGCCTTTTCTTCTACTCCGGCGGTCCTGTTGGGTTCCTTTAGGTCCTTCCTTTGATTGCACAGCACTTGAAAGCTCCTGTTCTTGTTCGGCTGCGGCTTGCGGTTCCTCAGCCAACTTGGCCTAATCTGCATATACTGCACGGAAAGCAAAAATGTCAAGTATTCCGTTCTCCCTTTCCCGGAATAATAAAACTTAATAGACAGTTGGGGGGCTTGTGGTCTTCCGAAAATCTATTTGAGCCCTGGTCGGTATGCGAAGTTGGCCTAATTTTATGAACAAAACTTTTGCTTGGGTTCTTTCCACACAATTTGGGGGAATATTTAACATAGCTACCAGGGTTTTGGAATTATTTATAAGATTGTGGAAACTTTAGAGTTAATTTCTCTTTCAGATTTAATAGGTCTTTAAATAAATTGGTGTTTAGGGCATCAACAACTACAATTTAAGGAGCTATATTAAGTAAAATCTAAAAAGGTTTAAAAAATTAAAAAAAAAAGTTAGTCTAAGAGTTAAGTCTATGTCCATTCATGTAATAGTAATAATAAACTAAGAGACTTTTAATGTGTTGAAATATCTATAACATGTATATAAAGGATGGTTAATAGCTCTAGACTACCCTTTAATTTATATGTTCAAGTATGTAAATACAATTAGACTAAGCTTATTTATTTATTTTCTAATTAGAAAGCGTGTTATATTTGGTTTGTTTGTGTGTTTCGAGTATAATAATTCCAAGAGGCAAAATAAAATCATTGGAATAAATTTTACTTGAATTCAACTCGTTGTTTGATATAAGCAAAACTGTTAATTTTGTATGCTAGACAATAGGTATATAGTTTCGATATTTAATTTTAAGCAGGTTTAAAGTTCTAATTTACTTTTTTGTATTTCATTTGGCCCATTTTTAATTAGTTTTTTGGGAATAACTTAAGATGACAAATTGGATTTGCTATAGCTTCAATCTAAAAAGGTTTTTTAGCAGAACTCGTTTCCCTCACATAAGAAAAGCCATAAACTTTTAATGAACTTTAAAACTTCTTCTACTTCTAACCCTTATTGCCTTTTGCCTGCAGGATGTGTTAAGTGTGTAGTTGTTACGGGCTTGGCAGGACGTTTCTTCCAGTGTGTGTGTATGTGTGCAGGCAACTGCAGCTGTGGATTGAGGAATGTGCACGCATAACTCATTTGGCATGCCTTCTCGCTCCCTCCTGCTCCCTCCTGCTCCTTCTCGCTCCTGTTTTCTACCCTTTTGTCCTTTTCTGCCGCTACTTGCACTTTGGTTACAGTTATTTGTCGTTCGTGTTGGTATGCGAAGTTTCGCATTGGTGTTCATGTGGGTGTGATAGTGCAGGCGGTGTGGGTGTGTTAGTGTGTGTTAGTAAATTTGCTATCTTTGCATTGTTGTTGCATTTGCTGTGGTTGTATGAAGTAACAGTGGTACCCACTTTGATATTTTGCGACGCCTTCCGGTATTGTTCGTTGTTATCGTTGTTGTTGTAATAGCTCTATTATTTAATAGCTGGTCCCGCTGGTGATATTGTTATTGTTGTTTCTTCTGTTGCTGCTGCTGTTGTTGTTGCTGTTCGTGTGATAAAATCGGCAATATTTGGCACGCGCGGTTCACAGTGTTGGTATAAAACACAAATGCAGCTGCTTTTCGTCCATATTGCCATTTATGCACATGCATGTGCTCCTGTATAAGTGTGTAGGTGTGTGTCTGGTGTGTGTGTGTGTGTGAGTGTAAACGCGCGCGACAAAGACGGAAAATTCGGTGGACTTATGTATTGGGGAACTGCAATTGTTGTTGTAGTTGCTCCTCTTGTTGCTGCAGAATTTGCGTTTGCTGTCGAATTTGTTGCTGCTGCATTTTCTTTGGCATTTCCATTGGCCGCATTGGGCGCTCTTTTTTCTGCACTTTTTAAATATATTTTTTTTTTTTAATATATATTAACTATAGAATAACAAGAAAAAAATATATAATGTTTATATATAGATGGCTCGATCTATATATATATTTTTGTGTACGACACCCACGACGACAACGACGAACGAAGAGCATTCAACTCCACTGCCTGTCGAATTTGAACTATTTTACGGTTTTCTTTCTTTTATTTTGATTTTTTTGATGCATCTGTGCCTGAATATTCTGGTCCTGCTTTTTGTCCGAGGGGCAATGGCAAACTTTGCGAGATTTAAGTTCTCAATGACGTTGTCATTTGGCAAACTTGTAAACTTTACTTGCTGCCCTGGGATCACTTTTACTCTCTTTCTATTTCTATTGAATTGAGCCAAAGCCTCTGATTGACACTCCGGCTCTCTCTTCTCTCGCTCTCTTTTGGTCTTAAGACCTGTTTACACTATCTTAATTTTAAGCTTCAAATTTAAAGAACGTATTCTTGAAGGTCCATAATTTTAAAACAAGCTCGTCATATATATTTATATTCATTTTTACATTAGTACAGTCGGAAAACAAATTTAATTGAATTTTGTAAGTGTTACAAAGAAATTTGGTATTTGTAATTTCTAGAGTACCAATGCCCAAACAACTCAGAAGAAAACCAAGGTCGTGTAAAGAGGGCTTAGCTCCTTTTTTAGTTGAGATCTAAACTGCTTTCACTTCTAAATTAGGTCATTCCTTTTGAGATCTTTGCTTATCTTGCTATCTCTCTCGCTCATGTTTTTTTTTTTTTTTGAGATCTAAGCTTCTATCACTGTTTCATTCCTTTACTGTCTGTTGTTGTTGCTCTAGCACCTGAAGCTTCTGTTTTTTGGTTGTTCTTAATGTTCCACCTTACTGCGTGTGTGAGTGTGTATGCCAGTGTATGTAGGATGTTAAAGTTTTTTTTTGGAGTGCGCGACGTAGAACTCTCAACTCAACACACAGACAGACAGACACAGCATATAACGAGATATAACGGGACGGAGGGCGTCCGTCTCGTTTTCACGTTGATGTTTCCGTTAGTGTTGTTTGTGCGATACTGACTCAATTTGTTGCTCGGCACCGTGTATATAGCGTGCTTCTTCTTGCTCTCCGCTCGGCTAACGGTTGGTCGGTCGGTCGTTCGGTCGGTCGCTCTCTCCCTTTCTCCAGCTTTCCCCCTGCTTTTCCCCAGACTTCCCTCGCTTTCTCTCTCTCTCCCTGTCGCACTTGCGGGGCGGGAAGTCGTTTAGTCCGCCCAGCGGCGGCGAAAGTTAACTGTGTCCTTTACCAAAGGGAGGGAGGGAGGGGGATTGTGATAAATTTTGGGTTGCCTGAGTGAAAGGAAGAACCCCCAAAGGTAGGCTATTTTTAGATTCAATCTTTCAAAACTCCAAGTTAGGAACTAATTTTTTAACTGAAAACTAAGAATAAGAATTTCTAAATATTTTAAAACGCCAAATTAAATAAAGTGTTGCTATTTAGAGCAGAAAAGAAACACAGAGTAACAAGTGTACATCGAGTTACTATTTTAGACTTGTTGATGTCTTACACACTTGCTAAGAAGAAATATTAAAAGAAATCTTAAGTTGAGCACCAAATACTTTGATTTGCTTAACATATTTTAAAACAGTCTATGGTATGTTTAATTTAAATATCTATCAGGAAATTAAAAGTTTGCGTTCGATCGAATCAAATGCTAAAAAAAATAACCGGGCGTACGTGTCGTATGGGTAATTTTTGGCGTAACTGTTAAAAGCTACGATTCTGACTTGTAAGTATACATTACTTTTAATTTCTATAAACAAACCCCACTGCAAAGAACTCCCGACGACGCCACTGGGCCACACTATACAAGTATAAAGATACTTCGTTGAGTGCAACTGATTCGGGAATCAGGGGTCGCTACTCGGAATCGAAAATGGAAACATAAATGAAGTCAGAGGTAAAGTCGGAGTTTAAGTTGAAACCACGACATCGGCAGGAGCGGACTATTTACAAGATAATTAAATACGTATAAGAAACAGACTAAATTTTTCAATACAGCACGAGTAATAACATCCATTTCAAACCATTAACCAAACTTATATTTAATTAGGATATCGATTTTTTTCTTTGTGAGACATTTACTTAATTTAACACATTTTACGGTCTATTTAAAACGGGAAATTACGAATATTAGCCTAATTTCAGTCGGATCAACTAAAACTGAATGGAAGATTAGAGCCCAACTGCCCATTTTCTTATGCTCTGGTTGAGCTGTAAGTGTCCATTAAATTCATAAGAGTGCCTTGGCACTTGTCAGTTTTACTGCCACATTTCAGTTTTCGTGAGTATGAGTATAAAAGCACCCACAGAGCACTTAACATTGACCCTAAGACTCTTAGGCTTAAGGTTCAACTTTAAATGCAAATGCAAATGCAAATCATAAAAAAACTCACATATTTTGAGCTACTATATATTATAGTTAGGTGACGTTTAATTACAAAAATAAAAGTAATATTAACTATTAGTGATTTTTTTTTATCTTATCTTTAGTTAAAAAATTTAAATTATAATATTGTTATTTTATAAATATTTTTAATGCACTTTTTGGATACACAAAAAGCTTTTTTATGATAATCCAAATTATTTGAGTGTTCCTAACATATATATAATATAACATGTTATTTAGGCTGAACTTACCATATAAACAGAGTTATGAAGTTTTGATTCTTTCCTTGAAGGTTTGGCTTATGAATGGGCTAAAATTGCAAGTGTACTATGCTAAAATGCTTAGGCATTAAAGACGTCTTCTATATGTATGTATGTACATACATACATTTGGGAACTATATCTCTTGGAATTCCCAGTGGATCTTGGAATCGCTGCCTCTAATTCGAAGGGTTAGTGGGTCAGGTTCAGGTCCGTCCCAGTTAGTTGGTATTCATGTTTTTTCCGTTTTTGGACACCGCGCTCTCGAACTCGGATTCGGATTCGGAATGCGATTCGGGTTCGGAATCGGGGGCTCCAGAGTATCGTTGCGTCACCGGCGTTTGTTTGCCGCCACCTTTAATGGGGGGGCGGTGGCTTGATGGGTCGGTGGGTTGGTGGGTTGGTGGGTTGGTGGGTCGGTGGTTCAGTGGGTCGTCGGTGGGGCAAAAGGGCGTGCAAGAGAGGGCGGTGCACTGTTGAGGTAGCTGCGTGGAAATGGTGAATTTATGGTTCTGGGGGCGGGAACAGATGGAAGCGAATGGTGGAATTGAGAGGGGAAGGAATGCTCCTGGCGGTGGTTGTTGATGCCTTGTTTTTGTAATTCCCATTCACATTGTATTTCCCCATTCTTCCGCATTTTCTTTGTTTTTTTTGCCGTTTTTGTTTTTTTTTTTGCCGTTTTTTGTTTTGTATGCGTTTTCGGTTACAGCTCGAAACTGGCACGAGTCAACTTTTATCGCACAATACACACTCACACATGCCACTCAACCGCACTCACACACGCACAGCTGGGGAAGAAATTATAGAAATGGCTAATTAAATAAGATAACTACCCAATAAACACATAGCAATGACAAAAAAAATATATATATATTAGTAAGATTTATTAATAGTTAAGTGAATTTAATGTTTTTTGAATACTTTACAAAATGCCTCTCAGTTTTGAGAAAACTTAAAAAAAATTTTTTTTGCAAATTAAATTATTTTTTGACAAAATACATTTTTTTTATACTTAATTTTTTTTTCTTTTTTTTCTACCACCACAACAAGTTTAAATTGTTGTTTTATGTGCTGGTCACAATTGCCTCATATATTTCAATTAACCCTTTTTGATTTACCCTTTTGAAAAGGTTAAAAATTTATAAATATTTAGGAATTTATTAGAGCTATTTATATGAATATAAGAACAAGAACAAATCTACAGAGTTTTGACCGCAACTGTCAATGAGAGGCACACATATAGACATTGATTCGGCATTTCTTTTTGCAGGCCCGCTTTTGACTTAATGTCGCGATTATTATTGCAAAAACACAACCACAAAAAAAAAAAAAAAAAAAAAAACATCACGAAAACAACCAACATAAACTAAAATGCTTTTATATTTCCCCAGGTGGGTATGGGGTAGGCATCGAAAAACTAATGCCAGAGTCAATGGGCTCTATATTAAACCCAGAGATTCCGGGCGGCAAAAAAGAAAAGAATAAAAGCTGACAGTTTCATTTTGAGGTTATACGATAGCCCTTACCTCTGTTCAAACTTCATTACACACCGAGACACAAACGCCTATATATGTAGATATATGAAAGGCATATTGATTTGTGTTTAGGGGAACCAACTATTTCCCCTTTGCTTACCAGCCCATTAAAATCGGGGACATTTTTGTACATAATTTATAAAAAGCCTTTTGACTAAATAGTTGGCTCCGAATCAAAGTTATTCAAGCGAAATAAGTTTGGGGGTCCCTTTGCAAACAGAAACAACAAAAAATGGTTTCCAAAAATAAACGAAGCAGCAAAAAGAATCAATAAGGTTTGTGGCAAGATATGTCTTATAGATTTCGCTTCTAATTTATATAAGATTACATCAAAAATTGGGATATAAAATACATAGTTAAGAATTGTATTATATTAAAATGAAAGTGGAAAATAAGCAGCTTTAAGCCCATAATATTAATGAATTAGTTCGAACGATCTTTATGAAACATAACAAATATCTGATTATTATCTGAACTTGGTATTCTTTACGCCCATCTCAGATTATATATTACAGGCTGTATTTCGGAAAACCTTTGGAGATACAAATGGTAGCTGTCCCATCGATTAATACAAGTCCTGGTTGTCCCAAAAAAAAAAAAAAAAAAAAAAAAATAGACGCGCGTTGGAAAAAAAAATGCCTGATTATTGGGGCCTGGCGCAGTTACGTACCATCCGAAAATTGGAGCACATTAATCAAACCAATTAATACCAAAGGAAAAAGGTCAGCCGTGGGCTCGTGACGCAGCAACAGGAGCGAAATTATGGGACATCGATTTGGTGATTGGGGATTGAAGATTGGTAGTCCAGGGTCGGGGGTTACCCCCAGCATTAACCCTACTAATTTTCAAAATGGAAATGCCTTTATTTGAAGGTTGCTGGTGGTAGGGGACGGTGGGCGTTGGGCAGAAATGATTAACGAACCAACTTGCGACAGACAGCATATAATAATTTATTGATACCAGGCACATACACACACAGACACACACACAGACACACACACATTCTCGCACACAAAAGGACCCTCGCAGGACCTCCCGAACTCAGTAGGTGACTCCGTGGTCAAGGCTCTGTTGCCGTACAAGTTCTCCACGGACCCGACAGCTAGTTGGCTGGCTTCCTGTTGGCACTCAGAGAAAATCTAGTTGATTCTGTTGCTTTATTTCAATCTTTGAACTATTAGTACATACATGCACCGAAAAAAATTGAAAGTTTAGTTTTAAAAAGTGTGTCTTGAAAATAAACTTCAGACAATACTAAAGTATAAGTGTTAATATTTTTTTTTTTGGGGTGTAGCATTAAAAAAATAATTATTATTTATATATTATATCTAATAATTTTTCTTTAAACATAAAAAAATTAACAATATAATAAGAAGACAGTATCTATTGACATACAACTTAAATAAGAATTAAAATGGTATTTATAGTTCAATAAACAACTTACTAATTTTGTACAAATATAAAATAAATACAATAACTAAATTAAATTGAATTTATTGAATTCCGCACTACCTAAGTTTATATAATACATAAATAAGGTAAATAAAATCGCTAATAATAATATAAGAGCTATGGTTTTCTCTGCGTGTATTATGTTTCACATGAGGGACGTCACACATACACGAGCAGTTGGAAAATCGGTGACCTACAAAACATTTAATCGTTGCCAACGGTCAAAAAGTTTTCGTTTGTCTTCGGCTGGTGGTTTTCCTCTTTTATGTTTTCGCTGTCGAGGGTTTGTTAGGAGTTCGTGTTTCGGCATTTCGGGAGTTTTGGAAGCTCTGGGAGTACAGTCGAAAGACACACGCACGTGTATTCTGTCCAAGGACTTGCGTACCGAAGGGCTCGAGGACATCTGCCTGTCGGCCAAAGAACCCAGCCCACTTTACCCAGAGGTAAACGCGTGTTAGGAACATTTTAGTTTAGCTTTTCGATAAACAGTGTTTAATTGTAGTTGTAGTTGTAGTTTTTTTTTTTTGTTTTTTTTTTTTTTTTTTTAAATATCTTATACACAACATTTAGTCAAGAGATGAACTTAAGTGTTAGGCTTGAATTGAACGTAGAGTTAGGATATAGTACAAACTAGTTTAAGATGATGCGAGCAATCCTAAGTCACCTATCCGAGCGAGAAGAGGGTTTTCCAAGGTATTCGTATGGGGAAATTTTTAGAAAGTATGAATTTGTAGTGGTCCGTTGCCGGTGGTTTCAAGTATGAGTATAAGACACAATTCATTGCATTCTGAGGATGAGAGATCGATCAGGTTGTGGGTGTGAGTGTACTATATGCGATAGGTATATCAATAAATCGAATAAATTGCTTCGTTTTTGGCACGCCCTTAAACGCCCTCACAGACTTACAGACAGACCATTTATTATAAAGCTGAACAGGTTTGAAGGAAGGGAAGGTACACACATTTTGGAATCCTGCTATATGTAGGTATATTATACGACACCTAAACATCGACGACCATTTTCTTGTGGATATCGGTGTTGCCCACCACCGAGCAGAACTCATCGAACGATATCTTGCCATCCTCGTCCTTGTCCGCAAAACAAATGGTCTTGTCAACGATCTGCTGCAATTGTGTGTCCTTCAGGTTGTTGCCCACCATCATCTTGAGCACCTGGAACAGTTCCCCGTTCGAGATGTAGCCATCGTTGTCCATGTCGTAAATCCGAAAGGCGAATCGCAACTTGGACAGCTTATCGCCGCGAACGCTAAACTGCGAAACTCCTTGGATGAACTCCTTGAAGTCCACCTCTCCGTTGCCATCCGCATCGAAAATATCGATCACCCGCTGAACCAAAGGATTCTGCTGCAATTCCGGCAGTGACATGAACTCATCTATGCTCAAGGCCCCCGAGTTGTCCAGATCCAACTTGCGGAACCGCTTGCCCAGTCTTCGGATCTCGTCCGCATCGAAATTGGAGCACATGTCCATGGGCAGGGAGGTCTCGTTACCCATGTTGGCCTTCGATTAATTGCTTCTCTTGTCTTGATCTGTGGAAGAGGGTCATCGTTAACGTGGCACCACTTATCTTCTATGCAGGGAAAAAACATAACCAAATGATGGACTTCGTTATTTTTAAGAAAAAATAGTGAATACATTCAAATCTGGCCTTTTTCTAAGACTTTAAGAATTATGAAAACAGTATTTTTATTCATACAGCGTCAACAGCTTGATAAAATGGACGCTTTAATTCTGCTTTTTAAAAAAATATATTCTCTTTCAAAAACAGAACAAAATTTGTTATAATGTAATAAATGCATATTAGTTCTTTAATATAACATGTTTAAGTTTTAATATTTTAGTGTTAAAATATTCTGTTCCAACAATTTGATTTGTTATTAATTAGAAATATACATTAATTATTTATTTATTATTGCAGTGGGTTTCTGTTGATATTTTACTTTTTAATATATTTCGTCTTATATAGAGTTGTATTTTTGCTAAAAATATATTGTTCATATCATATAACGATTATCAAGAATAGGAATCAACTAATTGAGTTGTTGGAAATCTGTATGTATTTTAAAATCCCACGAATTGGTGACCGATTTGGTAGATATTTTTTCTCTGCGTGTACAGGTCGAACCTCTTACCTCAGTTTTTAGTCTCCGGATTTTGTTTCCTTCAATCTCTTAATTTTGCAACGACTGACACACTCTAAAATTAAAGGGGGGAGTGCAAGTTATCAGCATACTTTTAATTATGGCTCAATCGTATCGATTTTCCAAATTGCCAGGGACTTTCACTTCCCGTCTCTTTTTTTTTTGGCTTCAACAAAGGAGTAAAATCTCGGGGAAAAGTCTGTTTTATGATCCTCTGCGATACGCAAGAAGCTTTCGTAGAGCCCATTGAAGAATTCCTAGTGTTAGCCATAGATATTTACCATAAATAAACAATAGCGTTGGTTTATTAACTCCCAAAAGTGCTCTCTACTCGCTCGACAGCAAATACACGACTGTGGGCGAAAGAGAGAGTTTTTCACCATTAGGGAAAATGCCAGTGAGGAAAATACGAAAAGTGAGAGCTAAGAGAGCGCGCTGTCAAAAGCAGACAGCTGTTGCTTTTCCACCTGTTTTTTGGGGGTTGCAAATCGTTTTTCGCAGTTGTCAATGTCGTTTCCTTTTACTTTTAAAGCATATTTTTAGGGGTTAACAAATATTTTACCATATTGTTATAGCATACTTATCGGATATCAATCCTTAAAAAACAGGATATTGCGTCGGGAACATATTAAGGCATTCCTAGAGATGAACCATCGCATTAGACTAGAGTTGGCGTCATGCGATAGGCATATTACACACGATATTTCTTATAGTTATTTTAAAAGACCTCAAATATTTTGCAAGGGACACTTATTCAAAAATCTTTTATTGAAATAGCTAAATAGGCTTTTAATAAATTCCAAAAGACTTAACAAACTTGATACACAGTCTAAGGCAAATATTTAAAGGTTTATTTTGATCACCTCAAAGTATTTTACAAACAATTAGGAGGAGAAAAAAAAGGACAATAAACACTTTTTTTGTTTTATTTTTGTTTTTAATATAGTGCAAGCCGACAAAAAAAGTTCTTCAATTACTTAAGAGTAATAAAACAACACATTCTGAATTCGTCATACTTCTGCTGATTTGAAATAAGAAAAATGTTTTAAGTAGTTCTTCCAAAAATTCAATATTATATAGAACTTTTATAGAAATATCAACTAAATATTCATTCAATTTAAGAGAGGTATACGCAAAATATGAGATTATAAATGGCACTCAATCAACAGAAGCTAACTGCTTTTTTTTTAGCACCAGATAATCCTCTTCATCTGTGCTAACTTCGTAGGCATCTCTCGACTTTTCCTTCACTGGAGTCTTGTGTTTGTTCTTTTTGTTGTTGTTCTCTAAATAATACATTTTTAAATTTTATTAGATAAATGAAAAAAGAGGGAAATAAAAGACGCACCTTGATTCACCCGCTCCAATTCGTCTTCCGTATCGATACCCGATGAAGCCTCTGTATTCAGATCCACCTTTTTGTGATCATTTTGAGCCGCATCATAGGTTTTCTTTACCTGATAAGCCTCTAGGATTTCCACATCGTTCTCGTCGGACTGGCGCCGTGAAGTCGGCTTAAACGCCTCATCGCACAGCTCCTCATCGCTCTCCGGCTGGCCAAGATCTGCGGTATTAAGGGCGTATCGTCTCCAGGGGAGATACTTCTTTAGTTCATAGCATTTTTCGATCCAACTACGGGTCACAATCTTTCCCTTGCCCTTCACTTGATTGTACTTGGGGGTGTTTTTGAAGGCGCAACTAGTTGGGTTACAATTTCGAAGTTAGCTAGTTAATTATCAAGTAAACAACGCTGGCTTACATAAGATGAGTACATCCTGGCTCCCAATCTGCCTTATACTTGGCACCCAAAGCTGTGGCTTTCGAACGCAAATCTGCACGATCAGGGTTCTGGAATGTTAAGAGATGAGTATTAGTTAAGCAGTTTGTTCAGTGAATCTGTAAATTAAATAAGATTCCTTGCCTGTATGCCACTGATGACCAGGAACACTCCTTTAAGCAGCTGATTAAAGGGACGATATTGGATGGGTGCGTCCTTAACCTTTTGCTTTTTGGCGGGCGTGGCAGCGCCTACAGTAGGCGATGAATGACGCTTTTGTGCAGAAGGACGAGGACTATCCCTGGCCTTCGAGGAGTCCTCTTTCCTGGCTGATTTATCCTCTTTTGAATGGGATCTTTCCTCTTTTTTTAATAGATTATTTTCTTTTACTGATGATTTTTCATCTTTTGGGTTTGATTTATCTTTAGAGGACTTGTGTTCCTTTGAGGATGATTTCTCTTCTTTAGACAAGGATTTATCTTCTTTAGAGGAGGATTTCTCTTCTTTGCTGGAGGACTTATCCAGTGAATGCCTGCTTGACTTGTTCTTCTTGCGCTCCCTCTCCTTTTCCTGCTCCAATCGACGCCGCTCCTTGTCCGCCTCCAGATGCTTGCTCAACCGTTGCTTCTTGGCATTCCCCTCGACGACATCCTCGTCCTCGTCATCATCACCAAACAAGAGGGAAGCTCGATTACGATCCAGTGGCTTGGCATCTGAAGGAGGAGGAGACTCTGATCGCAGGGCATTGGGAACAGGTGATGGTAAGGGCGTGGGTTTGGGCGACGCAGAGGGCGATGCAGCCAGGCTTGAAGCCTTGCCAGTGCTTAGTCTTCTCAAGGCATTAGAGCTTGCATCTCGAATGGCTGCCGCTGTGGAGACGGCAGTGGAAGATTGATGTTGTGCCGCCTCCTTCTTCCAGCGCTGAAATCTGTTCACCTGATTGTCGGTTTCGGAGTCCGGAGATTCTTCGCGCAGCTTAAAGGCCCCAAACTGCATCATTCCGTGGGGCAGCAGGGACTTGACCTTCGGAGGAGCAGCCACATTGGTCGGAGCTCCAACCACATGGACCTTGACAAAGGATAGTCCGTATTGGACGTGTCGATTGAAAGGTTGCGTGCAGACTATCTTCAGCAGTTTCCACTTCTCGGGCAGGACACTTTCCGCCAAGGCAGGACCACTGAAACATCGAACCCGGTTTTGGTTAGTCGAGTTCTTGCTCTCAATCGGGGTCATAAACGAACTGGACAACAGCAGCTCCCGGAAATCGTCCGTCTGGCAGCCTGTGCGACTGACCAGCACCTCTATGAAGGCGGCATGTTCGTTGCCAATATCGATGCCCGTAATTTGCTGCGGCTCCTGAAACTCTAGGATCACGTAGGCCGACTTTTCACCCGGCGATTTGGTTCGCCACTTTTTGCCGGCATTCTCCTTTAGCAGATTGTCCGCCACGTGAAACTAACAGTTGAGAAACATAACTATGTATATATAAATCTGCAATCTATAAGACACCAGTACTCACCCCATCCTCACTGCTCACCTCGCGTACGCAGTTAAAAACAGCAATTGGCATTTCGCAATTTCATCAATAAAAAATTCGGACGCCGCTTATTTGGCGGGAAGTTTGTTGGGTTATTTTTGATTCAATAATTACTCCGATATTGCTCGAATTTTGAGGTTTTAGAATCACCACATCAACAATCTAGAATGTTTGTTTATTTGAGGTCTTTTCCGGAACAACTGTAAGCTAAGCTGTTTTTGTTTTGACGAATATTTAAAAAATAAGCCCTGTATTTGTGGACGCTAATCGCACATCACTAACAGTGCTACCAGCCAAGCTAGCTATAGCTAAATCTATCTTTTTTTTTGTGGCAACATTTAAAATAGCTAGTTTGCGATAGTGTGAGCTTTTTCGAACCTAATTTTAAAAATATTGATCTACTATTAAACAAAATTGACAAACCTTTACGTCCAGGCTCATAATCTCAATCATTGAAAGCTGATTTTTAATCAAATGGCAGTCATAGCTAAAAATGTGTAAATGGCTCGCCTGTTGCACAAAACAGTCAGTCGTCCAGCTGTGAGCTTATGTTTGGCAAAGTGACATGACAGCAAACGAACATTTTAAAATATTTATTTTGTTGTATTTTATTGTTAAGAACAAAAGCACCCAAGTCTCGGTTTTTTGATAAAAAAAACCCTCGGGATATATTAGACGACATGATTATTAACCGATAGTGTAGCTTTCTCACCCAAAAGTATTACACCAACATGGCAACGCCATTGAACAGTAAAATTAAATAACAACAAAAAGTGAAAGTTTTGATTAAATAAATTAAGATCTAGAGATGAGTAATTTTATACGCCAGCAGTGACAAGTGGTAAAAATAATTAGTAAATAAAATAAGACAATACAGTAAGTTGAGCAGCTCCATTATGGACAACTAAATTAATTGCAAAAGCTTGCCCTTACAGATTATATTTATATATATATATAATAAATATATAATCTGTATTATTCGTTTAAAAAGTTGTCCAGTCGTGACTAGCGATGATTACAGTCACGATGAACAGAGAGCAACAATCGCCCATCCCTGATATCCCTTGTCAATGTCGCTGGCAGAGTTTCTGTTGTTTTTTGTAAATATCAACAAGATATAGAATGAGCGCGGATGCAAGGATCAAGGAGATGGCGCCATCACAGGACACCACCGTCCAGGACAAGGACGTGGATGCCACCAACTCGAATTCGCAGCCAAGTGCCAGGGATTGGGTGAATTTCTCCCAGTGGATGCACTGCTTCTGCGTGGTCACCTTCGATTTGAATCTTGGCCAGGCTATGGAGCATGTCTATCCGCCGCAGTTCATGCCCAGCGACCAGGAGGTCAGCAACATCTGCTACATGGCCTTTCCGGACTCCAATTCCGGCTGCATGGGCGACACCAAGTTTCACATGCGATTGCGCTGCACATCGCAGCGGGAATCCTTGCCAGCATACAATGCGGATTGTTCACCGGCCCTGCGCCAGGATGGCTCCCACTATTGGGGTTTCGTCTACTTCCGGCAGAAGCGGGATGCCAATCTGCCGCGTGGTTACTTCCAGAAGAGCTTCATCATCATCACACGGCTGCCGTTCTTCAATCTGTACTACGACATACTCTCCCAGTTGGCACCTCGCTACTTTGAGGAGGGAACCGAGGTCCTTCGGCTGGCCAGTGAGCAAATCAATCGCCAATGGCCCGGCCTGAGGGTGGGTAATACCCTTCAGCTTCCCCTGCTCGAGTGTAGCTACCAAATCAGCATACCGCGCACCAGTAGCAGCAGGAAATCCGCTGCCGAGGGCACAGCCAGCTCTGGGGAATCATCGCCAGCCTTGGTTGCCTGTCCAGCGGCCAAGGTGCTCACCTCCGTCAACGAAATCGAGCTCTTCCGCTCCCTGGACTTTGTCATGGAGCAACTATATACGCTGTGGGAGCTAGTGATCACCGCCGAGCCCATTGTGGTGGTGGGCACCTCACCCGCCGACTGCTCACACATGGTTCAGACCCTCCTGGCATTGATTGCTCCCTTGGAGTACTGCGCCGAGGCCCGTCCCTATTTC